CATTACTCTAGGAGTACTAGAGCAGCAACATGGTGAAAAGATATTGTAAGATGGGGAAATACTGTGAATATAGGAAGAGCTGCAAAGTTAAGGATCTGGGTAGGATGCAACCACCATCAAGGTATGGGAGAACACTCATGTTGCCATTTTAGTTCAGACTCATTCATGTAGAAAAATGCTTATTATCTTGTGAAATGTCAAAGTGCTGAAAAATGTCAGAGTCTGAGGGTGCAGTGCACTTTAAACAGAATGAAATTATGGGAGCAAAAACATGGCTGCACCAACTACTGAAATCACTGTTCTTGTTTATCGGATCCAAATTCTTTAGACAGTGTTGCAAATCCATATTAGTTGTGCTAGTTGACATTATTTATTTTACATTGGTGCATCTTAATAATTATGATTTAAAAATTTTATAGCGGAGACTATCTTGAGGACATTTTAGTCTATTTCCTATTAATATGATCCATAGGATAATAGAAAATGGGAAAAAAATAAAATGAATAAAAATAGGAATGAAGCAAATTGTCAGTGGTGATCTCATAACTGGAAGACTTAGCAAAATAAATGATGTTTAAGGAGGGAGTTGGAAGAGAGGTATTTTGCTCACTGAGAAGGGGAAAGTTGTGGCAAGGGTAGGCCTGATATGATGTTTTGCACTGACTTTTAAACTAACATACCTTTATATACTTACATATAAATGTATCCATCCAACAATCTTTCTAATAGCTAATTTTCTGAGGAGGCTAGAGAACAGATTATTCTAGTTAAAATAAGAAATTTACAATTGATTTCAAGTAAATAATTTTCACATAACTAATTATAAATAAGTAAGTGTACTGTGCTAAAAATAATACTGTCTCAAATTCGGGCACCAGAAACATAGGAGACAGTCATATCCTGTCTGAATGTGTTTGACCATAAATTAAGCAATTCTACCCACAACACATCCCATGTCAGTAACTTTGTGGAGCCAAGACTATACAGAACAAACAGAAGAATTTGTGCTAAGTTTGTTCAGGCATTTGCAGAAACAAGATTTTGTTACACTTTAGCTGATGTAATTTATTGAGGTAATGGTATCTGAATAATTTCCTTCAAGGAAAAAAAATGCACTTTAAAACACCTAGCTCTTTTGAAAGCAGTTTCTGTGATGTGAGTTAGTGTTACTATGCTGTTTTTAATGGATGATTAATTCAAAACATTATCAGTGTTTTCATAGTTCCACTATATAGTTCACTAAATATTGGGGTCCTATGAAAGGTTCACTATTAATTTCTTCATGCTTGCCCGTCTGTTCTCATTAAACTCAGTGGGAGATTTCCCATTCATTTTAATGGGAGCAGGACTGCATATCATCTTGTTAGAGAAGAAACAGGGGAAACAGGGGACGCAGGAGCAGATGGGGTAAACAGAACTGCTTTATTGGCCATGCACATTAACTTTGGATGCCCAACACATTGTTCTGAGTGGCAACAATTTGGCACCAATTACACCCTTTTATTTATTTTAGTATGTTAATTTACACATTTATTACTACTTTCCTTAAACCTTATTTAGTAATGTTAACTCCCATATAATTAATATTATTAATAAGCGGATGATAAATACAATTATACCCACTCCTGTTTATAGTTTACTGTTTTTTATCAGCATTACATACTGTCTTAATCAACAAGTTATAAGGAGGGGGAAAGAATTCTGACCCTGAAAGTGTTTTTACAGAACAAGTGCGAAGACAAAACAAAGACACAGTTCAGTGCAACCATCTTTTGAGGCTGCTAGGACAAAAGGGAAAAACTTGTTTAAAGGGCAATGCCTGGTGTGACCCCTATTCATGTTTACATATCCCAACATGTCATTCTCATTCAAATAACAGTGATTGTGTCCTCTTGTGGCAAAAAGACCAAATCACAGTGAACTATAGTGTATGGTTACGTGAACCTACATTTTGACACCTTGCCTTATCTAATTATAACTGTTCTCTTAGTTGTCAGACAGTTGTAATTAGAAATGTCTTCCCACCCTACCTCCCCAAAACTCATAAAAACCAAAATATGGTTGTACATTTTCCTTTTACATGAATTTAGTGCTTTTCAAATATACTTGATAGACCTAGAAACTAAAGTCCTTCATATACCCAAAAAGCCATTGTGAGACATGATCAGTGGCACTGCATAGCTCTCATAATGCTCCAGCAACATGCTTCCATACTGACAAGGATAAATGGTGAGCATTAGAGAGTAGTAGAGGCTTTTCTACTCTACAGTTTTGATGACAAAAGTCAACTGTCATAGACAAAACCGTGGAGATGTACATAGTGCAATGTCACTGGAAGTAGCAAATCTCTCCTTTTGCTGACACAAAAGTACCCCAACAACTGTATAGCTTTTTGCAGCAAAATTATAGTGACAGTGTCACTGTGGACACCAACCTTGGTTATGTCACTGTAAATGGCCTCCAGGAGATGTCCCACCATGCCCATCCTAACCGTACCCAGGTACACAGGCTGCTGTCCCTCTCCCTTTAAAGGCCTGGACATTTTTGAAATTCCACCTCTTGTTTGCTTGACATGGACAGCTCACATTCCATCTTTTCAGCTGACCCCATGGTGGCTGAGTGCAGCACATGGTCTCCCACTTGGAGCATACCTAAGATGTTGGAGCTGCTTGTATTTTAGGGAGAGGAGGCTGTGCAATCTCAACTCCTCTCCAGCCATAGGAACTTCAATAACTACAGTCACATGGCTTATAGTATGTTTGATAAGGGCTATGAAAGGGACAAACAAAAGTGTCCTGCAAAGATAACAGGAGATGTGGAAGGGGTACCAGAAGGCAAGGGAGTCAAGCCATCACTCTAGTGCTATGCCAAAGACCCACTGCTTCTACTAAGAGCTGGATACCATCCTTGGTGGGTACTTTGGCAGACTGGAGACATCAGTCAGAAGAATCAACCAAGGACGAAGTCGCAGACAAGATGTTGAGTTGAAGAATGATGTGGCGCACACAGCAGGGTCATCCGATGGTGTGGCAAGTTAACACTTCTTTTCTACATTGGAGGGTGGGGAGTTTAGCCCAGTACCAGAAGCCTACATAATACAGGAGAGCTTTGGTAAGTAATCTTTTTGAGCTCATGCTGCTCGGTTTTATGCCACAGCACTGTCCATTGCCTTGTATATTCTAGAAGTGGGTGAAAGGATGTATGTACAAAACTAGTTGTGTTTGTGTGTCTTTCACATTCTGCTGTGTATCTAAGCAGTGCTGTGGAACAGTATGTAATGCATACTATAATTTCACAGAAATCCTTCAGAGAAATCTCTAGGAAACTTTCCTGGACATACTTGCCAATCCTCTGTTGAAGGTTCCTTGATTTTGTTCCTTCCCCCATTTTAGGAAATATTCCTGCACCAATCCGCAATCATTTGTGCAGGGACCAAAGCAACGCACAGGTGAGCGACATAGGGACTGGGTCTGAAGCTGCATTCATGAAGGAGTCAGGAGATGCAACCTTGCTGTCTTGTTTACCCTGAGAAGTGAAATATTGGCTTCAGTGATTGCTGCCTGTGACAGAATTTACAATATTGTGCCTAGTTGACTACAGTGGTTCCCTTAAAACAGTGGTCCCTAACTGTTCGGGGCTGCTGGGTGCCTGTGGGAGGAGCCACTCACGCACTGGGTGTCCAGGGGCGGGGCCGCCCATGTGCCCGGGCCCGGCACCGCACATGTGCTGCGCGCCCGGGCAGGGGCCGCCCACACGCCCTGCACTCGGGGCCGACACCACGCATGTGCCATGCGCCTGGGCCAGGGCTCGCCCACGCGTCCTCGGCCGGCACTGCACATGTGCTGTGCTCCTGGGGCAGGGACCACCCATGTGCCGCGTGCTGGGGGCGGGGCCAGCCCAGATGATTCGGCGGGCGCACATAAATGCCCCGGTGGGCGCCATGGCGCCCGCGGGTACCACGTTGGAGACCACTGCCTTAAAAAAACACCAAGACTCTTTGCCCCATCTTGACAGACACAGCCTTGCTGAACTCACTCTGGGTACGACTAGACTGCGGGAGGCTTTTGGGATACCAGAGGTATCCCGAAAAACTTCACCATGCCCAGGGAACAGGTTTGCTCTTCCACATTTTTTTGCAGAAGAGCAAATGCGCTCTTTCAGAAGCCCCTGTATTCCTCGTTCTACTAGGAAGAAGGAGGCTTCTGAAAGAGGTTTTTTTTTTCCGACATTTGACCCAGTCTAGACAGGCCAAATGTCAGAAAAGCCTCTTCCGACAAAAGAATCTGAAAAAGACGTGCAAAATGTGCTATGCATTTTGCATTCCTTTTTCTGACAATAACTTGTAGTCTAATTGTACCCCATGTTTAGGGCCTTAGCCGTGTTAGTCTGTAACTGAAAAAAGTTAATAAATGGCCCTGCAGCACCTTAGAGACTAAAAATAAATATACATAGTGGTACAACCTACTTCTCCAGAATCTTCAGATGAATGGAGCAAGGGGTCCATCGATACAAATAAATAGCAGAAAAAAGAGAGGATGGGGAGAGAAAGAAGAAAAAAAATCTTGTCAATTAGAGTGTCTGTGATAAATGAGGCTAACAGAGTGGATTGTAAGTGTCTGATACTTAGCTTTGGATATCATTTGGGTGTTGAATATAGCAGCCCACCCAATTCGTGTCTTTGGTTAAAAGATTAAAAGTATCAAATTTGCAAATGAAGGCAAGTTCTGCAGCTTCTTTCTCCAGCTGGTTTTTGAAATTGCTTTGTAATAGTATTGTCTCTTTTAAATCAGTTAATGAGTGCCCAGGCAAGTTAAAATGTTCCCCAACAGGTGTCTGTGTGTTCTCATTTTCAGTATCTGATTTCTGCTTAGGGCATTTGCTGAGCTGCGGGCTTGTTGAAAGACAGTGAGAAACTGATTTGTATTTTTTAACAGATATATTTGACTATAATGATTTGATGTGGTATATGCTTCTGTTTCTTGTTTCTTGTGCTTCTGCAGATGTGGTATTCAGGGGAACCCCCAACGCAATGGTGGAGTACCTCTGCCAGATAAGGAAGCAGCCAATGAGGAGTTAGGAGGACATGTTTTGAGAGGTACTGCAGTTCTTGGAGGCTGAAAGACAAGAACACAGGGAGTGGAGACAGACTTCAAAAGAATGGGCCAAGAGTAGATGATAAGTGATGGGGGAGCAAACAGAGATTTGAAGTCCCTAATCACACTGCAGGCAGAATTTATGCTTGTTCCATACAACCTGCAGCCAATACAGAACTGCTTTCCATGTCCTCCCCAAACTCCTTCCACATCTTCCTTGTAACTTCCTAGCCTTAGTACCCCATTTCCTCCATCCCCTTGAACAGCTTCCAAAATGATAGCTGGATTTACAGACAGCTATAGCGCCCACACTGCCCTTCATTGATATCTCTCTTTCCACCAAGCCTTTGTGTGTGTTGTTAATTGGTATTTAATAAAAAAAAAACCTACAACTCTCTGCAAGATAATCGGTCTTAGTCTCCTGCACGCGGTGGTTGCTGCCAAAATTAATACACAATGACAATATGATCATTTGATGAATACAAATCATGGTCAGGAATCAACGTTTTCATACAACATGGCAACTTAACAAAGCATGGCAGTATGCTTTATAGAAACGAACGTTATTGGAGTTTATTGTCAAAATAGTGCCTTAAAGCTTCCTTGATTCGAATTGCCCCACATTTTGCTTCTCTAATAGTCCTTGTATCTAGCTGCTCAAAATCAACCATCAGGAAATCCACCACCTATACTCCACCTGAGGGAAACTTTTCTCACCTTCAGCCTCACAAATATTATGGAGCTCACTGCTACGATCACAGGAATATTTTCCTTATTAAGTCTAGCCTGCCATAAAGGGTGCTTTTTAATGCCCCAAAGGCACATATCTCCAGTCATTCTTCACATCCTTAGCTTATTGTTGAAGCGTTCGTTGCTGCTGTCCAGATTTCCTATGTAAGGCTTCGTGAACCATGGGAGTAAGGAGTATTCTGGGTCTCCCAGGACCGTGATGTGCATTTCAGTATCCCCCATTGGAATCTTCTGGTCTGTAAAGAAAGTCCTTGCTTGAAGCTTTCCGTACAGGCCAGCTTTCTCGAATATGTGTGCATCATACACTTTCCCACACCACTGTGCCTTGATGCCAGTGAAATGGACATGCTGTTCCACAAGCACCTGCAATACTCTAGAGAAGTACCCATTTCTGTTCATGTACTGCATCACAAGATGGTCTGGAGCCAAAATTGAAATAGGCGTGTCAGCTATTGCTCCTTCTCAGGGGAATCCTATCACTGCTAGCCCATCTACTGTTTCATTCATATTGTCAAGAGTCACAGTCCTTCATAGCAGGATGCAATTAATGGCCCTGTACATTTTTGTTAGCATAACCTCTATAGTGGACTTGCTAACTCCACACTGATTTACAACCATCTAGTAACAGTCTGGAGTTGTCAGCTTTCACATTGTGATTGCCGCATGCTTCTGTATCAGGAAGGCAGCTCTCATTTTGGTGTCCTTGCAGTGCTGTGTTGGAACAGGTTCTGCTCACAGTTCCACAAAGGTGGCTCTCAACATCCAAAAGTTTTACAGTCGCCGCTCATCATCCCAGACTTGCATAATGATGGGATCCCGATCCTATAATTCGATGCTTGTTTCCTGAGTCTAAAAGCAATGGTCCACTATGCGCAGCTGCACTGTGAATGTCAAAAGTAATCTGATGCTGTTTCTTTCCAAGGTACACAGCAGGTCATACATCTTCTGATTCCTGTTTAGATTGGGTGTTCATGATATATTGCATGATCAGTTGTGATTTGTTCATAACAATAATCAGAACAGTAGAGAGCAACGCAGAATCCATCCTTTCAAACAGAGATGGTGGCTGCACAGTAAACAGAGATAATTAAAAATGCCGCAATACTCAGTTCCAAATCAGAGAGGCTTTGAAAGAAAGTTTCATGAATGGCCAGTTTTGACAGTCATGCACATTGCTCTCAACTGGCTCCCCTGCATTCAGTGTATTTGCCTGTAATCCCCTATCCCACCCCTGCAATACAAGCAATAAAAAAACTGTTGTTCAGAGATCATATATTTTTATTTATGGAAGACAGCAGAGTCAGAAAAGAAGTCCATGATGGGACGTGAAAAGGTGAGGGGAGTTGTGAGGCTGCCCTTGAGTTGCCCACCTCCCACATCCTGTGGCTCCTGAGGTAGAATCTGTGGAACTATATGAGGAGGGAAAGTTATTCTGCAGAAGGTGGGGGTGTGGGGGGGGGGGCGGGGGTCCTCTCTAGGATTGCTGCCATGCACTCGATTACAGCTTTGATGAAAAGTTCTTGGCTCTCACTGACGGCTAGCTGGCCATATTTCTTTTCCAGCTCTTCCTCCTCCCCACAATCACCATACTGTCCTCTATGCTGCTGCCCTGACTGGTTTGAGCGGACTCCACAGTCTGGCTTGGGAAGCTGGTTGAATCCCCTCCCCCCATGATTGCATGCAGCTGGTCACAGAAGTGGCATGTTTGCAGTGATGCACCAGACTGTTTGCCTCCTTTTTCTTGTGATTGTGATCTGTCCCAGCAACTTTATTTTAAAAACATGGCACTGCTGGGAGTCCCTGGAGTATCCTTTCTCCACCAAGCACTTTGTTATCTTTACATAGATATTGGCACTTTACATAGATATTGGAGTCTTCTCTCCACAGCTCAATGAGGTCCAAGATCTCCTGCACACTCTATGCTGGCACTATTTTATGCCCCTGGGAACTGGAGTTTATGGAACTTGAACTCAAGGACATGTGTGATGCTCAGTTGTGCTGCCTGCTCTGAGGTGTGCTCGCAACGCTGACCATATGGGAAATGAAATTCAAACTTTCCCAGGGCTTTTCCTGTTAACCTGGAGAGCAGTAGAGGCGCAAGTTCTGGCCAGAGTGGTCACAGCAGGCCACTGTGGGATCAAGAACATCAACTTTCTCAATGCTGGTTCTACACTATAGTGAATTTGATCATGCAAGGTTGAATTTTGCATTACTCCTCATGAAAAGTAGGAGTTCCAAAATAGACTTTAGCAGCCTTTAAAGTCGATGGGATGTCTTTGGTAGTGTAGACTCATTGTTTAGAAAATCAACCATATGCAGTTAAACTCGATCTAAACATCTACTGTACACCAGGCCTTAGCTGCAGAAGGTGGCAAGTAGCAGAGCGGGATAGCTACCTACAGTGCACTGCTCTTTGTCAGTATTAGAGTGCCAACTGTGGATAGGCTCTGCTAACAGGAGTGTTGTGCGAACATGCACAAGCTATGTAATTATACCAGTTTTTGACTGTAGGCATAACTTGCACTGACAAAACTCTTTAGTGTAACCAAGGCCAGACTATGTGACTGTAAGTGTAGGCACTGTTTGCATTAGATAAATCAATCGGTGTAATATCAATCATTGGAATTAACCTAAGCGTATCTTTTCTGCTTCATCAGTTGAAGCTTTAAACTCCATGCAGTTCCTTTAACTGCCAGTAAGGACGTCAGATATAAGGGTGACTTTAATTGGTTTATATAGGAGTACTGCTCATCCTTTTGATAATATATATTTTCAATCACTACTGATTTATGGATGGATTTTAAGTAGCGAGCTAGAGAGAAAATGTTTTTGAGTCATAAGATTGTTAAAGTTAAAATGGACTAAAATAATCATTCTGATCAGCTACATAAAAAAAATAGAATTTCGCTTAATTATTCCTATATCTAGCCCAATAACTTGTGGTGGAATTAGAGCGAATATTTTAGAAAAAAAATCCAGTCTCGGTTTAAAGACTCCAAATGTTGAAGAATTTACCACATCTGTTAGCAAACTGTGCCATGGCTTAATTACCTTTACTGTTAAAAATTATATCTTATTTCTAGGTTTTGTATTTCCAGCCAGTCCCCAAAGTAATTTTTTTAAATTAAACTTAACCAGGCCACTTATTTAACACAGTCTCTGTAAAGCATCTGTAACCAGATTTCAATGTTTTAAGAAGTAATTACACTATGATAGCGTGCTACTGGAAATGAATCATTTAATAAAGGATCAGTTCTACATACTTAATACAAACATTTTTAATCCAAAAAAAAAAGTTAAATCATTCAAAATAAAATAGTATTGAATACAATTTAAAGGATATCTTCTTTATGGATGTTGAGACTATCTATGCATTTAATCATGAGTAATTTAAAATTAGAACATCTTGTTGATAAAAGTTGATAGTTCAGAGCAGAAGTATATTTGTATTCTTTGTATTGGTTATAGTTTAGAAGAAATAGTGAGCTTCTGAAAGGCTTATAAAGAATGAAATAGGAGATACTGTTTAACATAGGAGGCTTTTAGGGATTATTGCACATGGTTTTGATGGAATGTGACGTGTAAAAGGAGACTAATTTGGTCATGATGTAATTGGAAGAATTAATAAAATATAACATTGGACCATCTCAAATCTGCGTCACTAGTATCAATAGCTACTAAATATTCATTATGGCTAGCATTGCCCCCAAACTTATTTTTATAAGTATTTTTTAACTAACCAGCACATATCTGATTGGATAATGTTTCATTACAGCAGAACATATGCTGTATTTTGATAAGTGGTATCAAAAATTAATTTTATATGCATATTCTCCATAAATACATAAGTAGAAATGTTAAGTAACTCTTTGGAGCTTTATTCCCCTCTCTTTAAAAAGGCTTGTACAGATCTCAATTAAATGCAAAACCATGGATGTCTGGAAATAGAACGTAGTTTGAGAACTAAAATTTAAGGTGCTATGATTTATTTTTACAAGGAGAACAAAAGGGATACAATTTATTTTTTGTTCATTTGAAGTAAAACATTTTTAGATAGATGGGGCCAAGTTATCAGATGCACATGCTTTGGCATCTGTCTGGATGCATCATTGTCCTTGGGCAAAATCCAGTGGCTGTTGAAGTCAAAGGAAAGCCTCCCATTGACTTCAGTGGGCTTGGGATCAGGCCCCTAGCATGCATGCATGTAGGGTGTATGACATAGTGTGCATGTGATTTAATGCACACTTTCAGC